ACAGAATCCGGTTATAGGTTTTTCAAAATAAAAGCTCATTAAGACTCTGATAATACACAAAACGAATATATTTAATTATTTTTTGCGCGGCCCGGTACCAATTGGCCCACAGACCGGTACCGGTCCGCGGCCCGGGGGTTGGGTACCACTGCCCTATACAGTGAGCGATGAAACCCGCATGTCTGCCTATGATAGCAGGAGCCCCGTCTGTAGTCACCGCGACCAGCTTTTCCAATGGTACCCTTTTCTGTATGAAAAACTCCTTCACCGCGTTATAGATGTCAACTCCCCTTGTAGATGTCTTTAAGGGCAGTAGTGTCAGGAGTTCTTCTCTTGTGGAGAAATCTTCGAACACCATCCGGACAAAAATGAATAGCTGTGCTGTACTGCTGCTGTCCACGGACTCGTCGCACTGGATGCTGGACCACCTGCACTTGGCCAGATCCCGGTCCAGCTGATCGACCAAGTTACCAGACATAGCTGACACTCGTCTAGCCATCGTAGATGCCCCCAGTTGGACGTCGGAGAGAGTGGAGATTAAATCGGCTCCATTTTTCTCGTCTTTAAGCAAAGTATTAGCAATTATCATCATTGCTTCTTTGACAACCTCTCCGTCTGTAAACGCCTTCTTCTTCTTGATCAAAAAATGTATGGCTCTAAACGAAGCTTCAGTCGCTTTCTCTGACTTTTTCGCCGGCCTTGTGAAAAAAGGCTGTTGCTTACCCAAAGTTGCCTTTAACTCGCAGGCTTTTTCTGCCCGTGGTGCGCTTCCCGGTGGGTAGTTGGCATGGTAGCTTTTGTGGCACGAAGGTAAGTGTCTCTCCACATTGTGCCGCTTTGCCGTCGCCACAGTTGCCCCGCAAATCAGACACACGCAGGTTTCTTTTACAGTCGTAAAAAAGAACTCCTCCTCCCATTCGTTGTGAAAGTGATAAGTTTTCTTTCGTTTTTCTGTCATGTTTTTGATGTAAGAGACTTACTCCGCTGCGCCCTCTAGCTTACTCTCCACTGACACGTGCACAATACTGACCTTTGAACTAGAGAAAACTTAAACTTAATATATAATGAACATATTTTTAAGATATTGCCATTTTAAATCAAATCTATATGAATGCAAGTGTGATTAAAAAAGAATAGCAACGGAACAAAATTACATTTTAGACGCAGCTCACTATTGAGTTGTGCTATTTTTAGAACAGGCCTGCGGGTGACTCGTGTGGTCCTTGCGGGCGACCTGGTGCCCATGGGCACTGTGTTGGTGACCCCTGCTGTAGGGTAACATTGGACTACTGTGCACTCACTGTGTAAAAAAGGATGCCAATGACAAAATGATGAACCATTTGAAACCTGTAGAAATCCTGTCAGAGAGGATGAGAAGGAATAAAGATTAGACAAATCTTGCACAGAATAGTTTTATTATTATTATTCATAATAAATTGAAGAAGTTCCTCTCACCTTACTAATTTACAAGAGCAGCTTTGTC